TTTCGTTTTATTGGCAAATCAAAAGGGTCAGTTACTTCTGGGACACCCTATACAAGCAAGAAAGGTAGTTACAAATTGACATGCAGGTTCTACCAAGCTTCTATCGTACCTTAAGTGAGCATGAAAATCAAGATGCGGTTGCATCATTAAAAAATAGGATGAACTTGAGAGTCTATGTGAGTTATTTCGTAATGTTTTGCTAGATAAATATATCACAAGACAAACATTTTACTAACTATAAAGTGACATTTATGAAAGAGTTGGGAGGAACATACAAGGCGTGATTATGTCAAATCGGTCTGCTGACGACACTGTGTGATGTAGATTGATCAGTTTATATGTGGACTCGATAACACATTAGGATAAGTGTTCTGGTTGGAACTGAAAAGAATGTATGAAACAGTAATTGGAAGAACATATTTTTCTACATTGAGTAACAACTCAAAGAGTTTCGACAAGCAATAGTGGTAGTGAAGTAAACATTCACGACTATTCACTTGTTCCGAGTAATATAATTACGTTTTTAAGCATTAATCAAGGTGATGCCAACTGACACGAGCCACTGAGTGTAGTCGTAAGAATACGGGATTTATACAGAAACAAGTAAATAAAGTAACCATATCTAACAAAGCATTATGTGGTTACGTGACATGGGTACCAATACGCGTTACAAAAAAGTGACAAAACGGAGTCGGGATTTCAAAGAGGATTGTGTCGTTATCTGTGGCCAACGAGACATCTGTGAACTGGTAACGGCAAACAGGCTCCTCAACAGGAAACAAGGAAACAGTCGCTCAGTCACCATGGTCAGTCCCATGTGAGAGGTGCAACGCCGAGAAGGGAGGTCAGGACAGCGTGTCAGCCACCCCATTCTTCGTGACATCATTGTGGTTGACTTCAGTGGTCCATTCGGAAATGTAGCCCAAATGAACGAGCTCTTTCGGTTTGTCTTTGCAAGAATGTGATCATATAGCAAAATCTAAGTTGTTTATGGTCCGCCATACTTGTAAAAGCATGACCTTAAATTAAGTGTCCGAAGTTGTCTGCAACCGGGTCAATAGCGAAAACTTGACGGTTTA